AGGATATAATACAGTAATGTCACTTGCCCGCTTCAACAAGTGATGCAGAACGACTTTGGCACCGCGCCAAACGCAGCCGCATTGACACGCCCCACCGGTCCGCAATGATGAGGACTGTGAAACACTCGGCGGCGAGCACAGAGAAGGATTGCACAGTGACTCGATGGATCATCCAGTCGTATTGGCTGCGGATGCTGGGGCGTGTCAGGGGGGGGGGGGGGTTGACACGGTGTCCGCACTTTCCACCAGCCCTAGTGTAGTTGCTCTGCATCTTCTACAACTGATGAAGGCGCCGCGCCGAAGTCTCTGCACCCCCTGACAGGCCACAGTACCTGCAGAGGTCAAGACTATACAGTGCAGTCCTGTCTGCACTACCGTGCACATAACATATTACACCCATTAGTGAGCCTCCTCGCTCTTAGCAGACTATGAACCAAAGGATAAAAACGAACGGTCTCAAAGGATGCGCCCAGACGCTGGGCGTGTCCCATACTACTGAAACCACTCACGATAAGAGTTGGTGTGAGAAAAGTGAGACACGGGTTCTCCATTCCACCAAAAGGAAACGATGGTGGTAGACAAACCATATCATACCTGAAATGAAAGATCAAAAATTCGGTCCACGAGCAGGAGAAAAGCTAAAATCTCAGAATTACCTTCCCCAGATGTACTTGCCGCAGATATCCTCAGCACAAGCGAGTATATCCTCAGTTTCCGCAAATTCCCAGTGTGCTTTGTCCACGACGGATGGCTCAGCCCACACGGCGACCCTGTAAATAGTCCACAATTGAGGGCATCAAGCCGCTTCCAGACAAATCAAGGCGCGGAAAAAAACCTGCCTTTCACTGATGTCACGTTTTTCCAGCACCCCAACAACGATGGCAATCAAGTAAGAGGGAATGGCGACGGGTTGTTTGAAGAAGAATGTGGTGTGCTCGTCGTCACCCTTAGATCCTTCGCCAATCGCGCTCATCAGGCAAGTGAGCCCAGCTGGTACTGTCACCTGCAAATTATCATCGTATAATTGACGCAGTGTAGAGAGCGCTTCGCGTCGGCGCGCGTCGCATTCTGTAAAAGACAGCATCCATGGATACCTGAGCTTCGTAGGTCGATTTCACGGAAGGCGTGTCCATACAGGGAACAATTGATCGTGCATGGATAGCTTGGCACTGTGAGAACAAATACGGTGCCTAGAATGATCTAATAAGCATGCTGGACGCAGCTTCAACCGGACACATCGCTTCGAAAACGTCTTCAACCTTCTGGCACCGCCTTTCCGCAGTATTCGCCTGGAAGGAAGTAGGACCCCGCGCACTCCACCCCCTGAAAAACACCCCATTCCATTTGATCTCTCCCGTCGCCCTTGCCTCGACAGCAGCGCGGCTCCCCGCTCACTCTCCTGCTCTCACCCCGCGCCTCAGGGACTCGGCCCACCACCCCACATCGGGAGCGCATGGTGCCTATCTCAGGCTCAGCTCCTCACTCACCCCCGACCCAGTGCAGTCACGCTCGAGCCCGCACCTCCCCTGCCACCCCGTGTGTGCCCCGCGCAACGCTCGCTGTCTCTCAGACACTCCAACAGACACCGCCTGCCGGGACTCATAGATCGGCTGTCCCTCGTTGAATGCAGGGGTCCACGCACACGGCCGAACCCCGCCTCCCTCCTCCCGCCACACTCGCACTCGGCCTCGGCTCCACGTGAACCCCGCCTCACCCTCCCGCGCTCCTCCGACGGCCGCTCTACCCCCCCAGTGCCTCACGACCCTCACCATCTCTCTACCACACCACACGCCTCGCTTATTTCCCACCTTTCTCAGTCATTCTACCGCTCAGTACCAACGGACGCTCGCGCCTCACCCCTCCCCCCCGCGCCCGCCGCGGGACCTGACCGCGCGCGAGAACAAGCGAAAATAAACGAGAAAATTGAGTGACTTTATCCCCCCGGTCAAGACCCTCCCCGCACACTCCCCCAGCCACAACCCTTCCCCCCACACGCCTCGCCCCCCCTCCCCCACCCTCAAATTCGATGCTAAAACCAGTACGGACACTGCCGCGATGTGAACCACTCATCACGCCACAGCATCACACTGGCCACACCTCAACTGCCTCGCATCGTCGCTGCTTGGGAGAACATGAAGAAAGTATAATAAAGAAGAACATGGAGACACTGGCGTCAGATGCTCGTAGCTGGGGAACGCGTGGGAATCAAGCGGCGTCCAACTAATGGGAGTAAGAGGCACACACCACGTAGCGCTGCAACCGCGCGCGTCTTAAACGCGACAATTAGAGATTGCTGTAGCGAAAAACCACCTTTTTATCAGCAGTTTGTTCCTTCCTCATCCATTGAAGGGCAGTGGCGTCTGGAGATGTGCTGTAGAAAATCACCACGCTGCTGAAAATGCGAAATTTTTGACGGAATTCTCGAGTACAATGAACTTTTTGGCGCAGTTCGGCTCGGTGGGAGCACTGAATGACACTCATCTCAGCTTGTACAATCCACCTCGTAAATACCTGCAAATTTCTGTGACCAAAGTCACTAACTCGAACACTTCCGCAGGTTAAGAGGATTTTTCAGGTCTGACGATAGTAAGACTCTTTAGTCAACATGAACTAACATAGGAGGCTAGCGAAACGGCAAAATGTCCCCCCAAGCCGAACAGCGTCAACTTTTCGAGCAGATCTTTTGAAGAAAACATACAATCTGTTGCCGTCCTGCTGTACGTCATTTGGCAGATAGATGGTCATTTTCGAGCCAAAGAAAGTGTAAACATTCGGAGCAATTCGGAAATCGACCACCTTTCCATCCACGGTCACCGAACGAATTGATAAGTCACGCACGTCAAGAAGCTGAAGTTATCGGTTTTTTAGTCTTGTGAATGTGTTGGGGCAGAATGTAGTGCAAAGTGGTGCTAATTCCCATAAGCGCGGTCTGGGGACCAGCAATGGAGTGACTCCCGTTCGAGCTAACTAGGCCTTCCCTTGCTTCAGGGTCAGCCACGATCCTATCCTACTATATATGAAAGGCAAAAAGGCAACGTCTATGTGTGTTGTGTGTGTGTCTGTCTGTCTGTCTGTCTGTCTGTCTGTCTGTCTGTCTGTCCGGAACTGCATCACCTGAAGAGCCAGTTTGAGGGGGCGGGTCAAGGGTGGGATGGGTAGGGCATGGGCCAAGATGTACGGAATAAGCATGGACAGCTAAGCCCCGCCCACTATAGGGCTACCCACATTCCTTACCCGAGAGTTTTTATTTCGAGAATTGGTAATTCGGTTCCAAAAAAGCCCGAAGAGTGGAAAATGTGGGAAACGATAGGCAGTCGGTTGGCGAACGAAATGAGGAAGACACTCCCATATTGGGCGGGGCATGCTATAGGGGGCGGTGCTCGCTACAAGCATATCAACAATTCGTAATTCAGTTCCAAAAGAGCCCGGGGAGTGGAAGTTGTGGAAGATGGTAGGGAATGAAT